AAGCCCTGCAAATGTTGGTTAGGGGCAAACCTACCCTTGCAAGTACAGTTTTCCAATTCGATAAGTCCATGTCGGGAGACAATGACAATGATGCCAAAATGGATATTTATTCCAGGAAAATTACCTGTGACTTCCTCATCATTTGCACCCTTATAAATTATCAGATAACAGTGGCATTTCCAGGATTTTTCTCGAACATCTTACTCCACTTCCTGCCCTCACATTTTGCAAGCATATACGATAGATACACTCCAATACGTGGCCATTGCAATATGTATCATAGCTAAGACATTTTAAAAGGCCTCTGAAGAAACTATGTGTGTCACAACAGTGCACTTAGATCAATTCACAAGGAATCATTGAAAAACCAAACGGACTGCCTCAGCCAATAAGCTAGATTGTGACGACAGGAAACATCACGCTCCGCCAAGTGGGTGACCTCCTTCTAGCCCAGATTCAATCTGAAAACTGAAAACTGAGGGCATCAAGAGAGCAAAAGGCTATGATGGGTCTGCAGCATTGGAAACTGAGAAACAGTAGGCCACTGAGCCAGGCAAACAGAAAAGACATTCCTAGATAACAAATGACTCAAGGTGGAAGAGAACACTAGAAGAAATATTTTCCTCTAGTTCTCCAATTTTATTTTATTTTATTTTATATTTTATTGTGGTAAGAACGCTTGACATGAGATCTATCTTTTTTTTAATTAAAGTATAGTCAGTTACAATGTGTCAATTTCTGGTGTACAGCATAATGATTCAGATATATATATATATATATTCCTTTTCATATTCTTTTTCATTATAGGTTACTACAAGATATTGAATATACTTCCCTGCACTATACTTTCTGTTGATCTATTTTATATATAGTAGTTAGTATCTACAAATCTCAAACTCCCAATTTATCCCTTCCCACCCTCTTGCCCCCCTGGTAACCATAAGTTTGTTTTCTCTGTCTGTGAGTCCGTTTCTGTTTTGTAGATAAGTTCATTAGTGTCTTCTTTTTTTTAGATTCCACATATGAATGATGTCTTATGGTATTTCTCTTTCTCTTTCTGGCTTACTTCACTTAGAGATCACCCTTTTAACAATTTTTAAGTATATAATATATTGTTGATTATAGGTACAATGTTGTACAGCCAATCTCTAGAATCTTCTTGCTTGATTGAAACTTTATGCCCATTGATTAGTAACTCCCATTTTTCCTTCCCCCTAACCCCTGGCCACCACCATTCCACTCTTTGATTCTAAGCATTTAACTATTTTAGAGAGTCATATAAGTGCGATCATATAGTAGTCACCTTTCTATGTCTTTCTATGACTGGCTTATTTCATTAGCATAATGTCCTCAAGGTTGTCTCATATTGCAGAATTTCCTTCCTTTTCTAGGCTGAGTAGTAGTCCATTATAGGTATATACCATATTTTCTTTATCCATTTATCTGTCAATGAGCATTTAGGTTGTTTCCACCTCTTGACTGTTCAGAGGAGTGCTGCAATGAACATAGGAGTGCTAACATCTGTTTGAAATCCTGATTTCAATTCTTTTGGATAAATACCCAGAAGTAGGATTGCTAGATCATATGGTAGTTCTATTTTTAATTTTTGGAGGAATCTCTACATTATTATCCATAGCAGCTGCACCCTTTTGCATTCCCATTCACAGTGTGCAAGTGTTTCAATTTATCCACATCCTCGCCAACATTTGTTATATGCTGGAGTTTTTTTTTTTTTTCTGATAATAGCCATCTTGACAGGTATGAGGTGATATCTCTTTGTGGTTTTGATTTGTATTTCGCTGATGATTAGTGACATTGAGCATCTGTTCATAATATCTTTTGGCCATTTGTATGTTTTCTTTCGATAAATGTCTATTCAAGTCTTTAGCCCATTTTAAAATCAAGTTATTATGGTTTTTTTTTTTTTACTATTGAATTGAAGAAGTTTCTTGTATAATTTCTTATATATTTTGGAGATTAGCCTCTTTTTTTTAAATATGGAACTCTTCATGAATTTGCGTGTCATCCTTGCACAGGGGCCATGTTAATCTTCTCTTTATCATTCCAATTTTAACGTATGTGCTGCCTAAGCGAGCACGAGATTAACCTCTTATCAGATAGATGGTTTGCAAATATTTTCTCCCATTCCATATATTACCTTTACTTTTTGTTGATTGTTTCTTTTGCTGTCAGGAAGCTTTTTAGTTTGATGTAGTCCCACTTGTCTATTTTGCTTTTGCTGCCTGTGAAGAAACATCTTAAAATGGGTCAAGCCGATGCTGCTGGTCCATGGACCACCCTTTGAGAACCACTGTTAAAAACTCTGGATCCTTCAAACCCTACCTCAGATCCAGGGGAAGAGAATCACAGGAAAGAGGCCAAGGATCTGATTTCTTAACAAAGCATCCCTGGTGATTATTCTGGTCTAAATATACTACACCTTTTATGTGCACTAAAATTCATGCTCCTTTCTTATTCCTCAGATACTGACTGATTATCTGGCTCCTCAAGACAGAGTAGATTAGAAGCTATCTACTGTGTAGTGTAGAAGCAGGTTTGTTCAATTTTTGTTTTTAAGTTTAATGTGAGATGTTGTTTGCAGAAAACGATTTGCTATCAAACAAAGGCGTTTAATATCAATGTTTTCTTTATTAAAGTTACAGACTCCAAACCTAGTTTCTCCTTGAGCTTTTGAGTTCAATTTACAACTCTTAATATTCTATTTATAAATCTAATAAAGTTTAAGGATCACTGACACAAATGCCTTTGACTGATGATTGGTCCTATGTAACTAAGTGCCTTTATAAATTAAATAATTCAGTTTACTTTTTAAGCCCCTTAAATATCTGACTAATGGCTAAAACCTTCTCAGCACTTAATTAATTCTAACAAACAGAAGAAATTAAACGTAAAAGTATAGTGCATCTTAAAGTTCTCTTAAATGTCCAAACATGTCAGTATAGAATAGGATGGAAGATGCAGGATTCTGTCAAGTTCAAAGTATTTAAAACTAAACATGAAGACTTCTAAATATCTTGAGATATTAAAGTTAAAAATCCCATTCTCTGAAGCAGCAGCCTGAGGCTTCAGGATTCTGTGAGTGGCTGGAAGAATTTGGTAGTAATTAGGCACAAACCAGGCACATGGTCTGTGTGATTGTGATGGTTAATTCTGTGTCAACTTGACTGGATCATGGGATGCCCCAAAAGTTAGGTAAACATTATTTCTGGTTATACCTGTGAAGGTGTTATTTCTGAGTGAGATTAGAGTTTGAATGGTCCCTCCCAGTGTGGGAAGGCAGGATCCAATCTTTTAAGGAAGAAGAAGGAAGAATTTGCATCTTCTCTGCCTGACTGCTGAACTGGGACATTGGGCCTCTCCTACACTCAAACTGAGACTTACACCATTGGTTCCCCTGGCACTCAGCCCTTAAGATTCAGGCTGAACTACATCACCAGCTTTCCTGGGTCTCCAGCTTGCAGATGCCAGATTGTGCGATTTCTCAGCTTCCATAATTGCATGAGCCAATTCCTCATTATCTATCTCCCTATCCATCCATCCATCTATCTCCTATTAGTTCTATTTCTCTGGAGAATCCTGACTGATACAGTGATCATCCCCTTTTTAATCTTTAGTCTGTATATAGCACAAGACACTATGAGTATAAAAAGGGTAATCAGGTTGGCAGTTGGGATTAGGAAAAAACTGTTCTGTCTGGCTGCTGATTCAGACCCCGCAGCCCAGCTAATGTCTCTGGACACTATGTATTATCAACTGTTAAAGAATATTTGGAATGATGTAAGGGGCAATTAACTAACCCCCAAATCTCAGCTGCACAGCACAAGTTTATTTCTCTCTCATGCAAAGTCCAATGCAGATGTTCCTGGCCTGAGGCTTTCCTCCAAGCAAAGACTCAGATCCAGCCTTATTCAATCTTGTGAGGCTTCCATCTTCAACGCATGGCCTCCAAGGTCACAATGGAAGAAGAAAACACAGAGCCTAGACAAAGCAGAGCAGATTTTAATTCAATGACTTGGAGTGTCACGACACTTCTGCTCAAATCCATCAGTAAGAACTAAGCACATAGCCCCTCCAGATAAAGGCCAGGCCAGCTGGGATATGTGGTCTAGCCACATGCTAGAAGAAATGAGTTTGAGTATCTAGCCAATCTCTGCCAGAAATGGCATAAGTGTTCCTTTAAGGGGTTTATTAGTTTTCTAGGGCTGCCATAACAAATTACTACAAACCAGTGGCTTATAACAACAGGAATTTATTTTCTCATGATTCTGGAGGCAAGAAGTCTACAATCAAGATGGCAGGGCCATGTTCCCTCTAAAGACTCTAGGGGAGAATCCTTCTTCGCCTCTTCCAGCTTTTGGGGGTTGCCAGAAATCCTTGCCATTCTTTGGCTTTTAGCTACATTTCTCCAATTTCTGCCTCCATCTTCCCTGTGTCTGTGTATGTGTCTCCAGCTCTCCCTCTCCTTATAAGGATACCAGTCATCAGATTTAGGAAACACCTTAATTCCATATGACCTTCTCTTAACTTGATTACAACTGCAAAGACCTGATTTCCAGATGAGGTCACATTCACAGGCACCAGGAGTTGAGGCTTCAATATATTCAACATACTGGTTGTTGGGGTACACAATTCAACTCACTACAGAGGGAATATTAGTTTTTCATTATGCAATTTCTGTGGATCAGGAGGTCAGGCATGGGTTAGTCCAGGGTCTCACAAGACTGAAATCTAGGGTACTGGTTCTCATCAAAAGCTCAGGGTCCTCCTCCAAGTTCACCAGTTGTTGCCATAATTGAATTCCTTGTGGATTTAGGACTGAGGTCCCAGGTTTTTTGCTGTCTGTTGGCCAGAGCTCATCTACATCTTCAAAGTCCGTGGGAGTACATTTCTGTGATGCTTCCCCTTCTTTTAAAGGCTCACTGGTTAAGGCAGGCCCAGCCAGGAATCTGGTTTGATTAGCTCAAAGTCAACTGATTAGTAACCTAATTACAGGAATGACATCTTATCAATATTGGAGGTTCCACCCACACTCAAGGGGAGGAGAGTATACAAGGGTGTGGGTCATTGGGGCATCATCTTAGAATTCTGCCTACCACAGGGAAAGGCTTCTTTTAAGCCCAGGAAGGTTTAGAATGAAAACATAAATCTTTAAGTGTGTTTTGATTTTCTTACATTAAGGAATCTGTGTGCATATTTGGCATTTATATGCTTGCAATGTTTAAAGTAATGTGTCTAATTGGTCTAACAAGTCAGACTTATAATTCCTCTCTAAAATTATAATTGTACAGTGGATTTAGGCAGATGCATTAAGTTGAAACATTGTAGTATCATCAAATTTAAGAGAATTTTGGATTGAGCCTTTTCACAGTTACTATACCAAGGTTCTACGTCTGTGCTCTTTATATGGTTGAGTGTTTGTGAGTTCAAGGGGTACCATTTCTGACTTCTGTGCATTCAGAGAAATCTATCATCATCACTGAGGTTGTAGCTAACTTCCTAAGCCTTGATTAGATTCTTAATTTTTAAAGTTGTCTTTTTCCCAATGTCTGGTATTTATTTCCTTGCCCTGAAAGAAAAATAAGTTGTTCTAGAAGTAATTTAATAAGGCCATAGCAAACAACCAACACATATTACTGTGAAGTGATTTGCTCTTATCATTTCCTGGCCAACACCACAAACTCCCCACAAATACCCCTGCTAGTTACAAAAACAAATGATAGTTAATTTTATATTATTAGTAACACATCTAAGATTGACAGGCAATAGAGAAAGAAGGGCCGACCTCCCACAGGTTCATCCACCGGTTGAGTGTGGTGACACATTTCCCTCACTCCGGCTGCAACTTGGCTGATAACCTTTCTGTGGGAGTAATCATTTAGGAGTTACTTGTTGACAGACTGACTGTTGACTGACTTGTTGACAGTCCAGAAGGTAAGGCAACACCTCCTCAGGCATGTGCTAAAGAAGGTGCTCGAACTTCTTCACAATGTAAGCCCAGGGCCAGCACCTGAGAGTGTGTGCCACCCGAAATCTTGCACTCTGGGCGCCTGACTTGCCTCACCCAAATCTTGGCCCTACTGGGCACCCCAAAATCCTTCTGGCTTAAAAATCCTTAAAAAGGCTTTTCAAAACATCAAGACAAGATTACCTTCTGTCTTTCAGTCAGAGTTCCTGCTAGACCTGGCTGTCTTCCCAGGTGAGGCCACCCCTGGAAGATTCAACTTCTTCCGACATATTTTGACATGGTGTTGCCTGCCTCCTCTTTCAGAGCAATTACTTCCTGGCCAAATCCTCTCTGACTAGTCTCACGTCTACCATAGCAAACCCCTTACAAAACTGCTTAAAAATAACCTTGTGACGTATTCATTTTTTTTTTTTTACAAAATCAGAAAATTCAGATGTACAAAAAAAAATAACAGAAAATATCACCCTTAGCCTCACCACCCAAAAATAACTATCCTTTACATTTTGAAGAATGATCTTTCAATATTTATGCATATATTTTAATACACTCATAGGCGCGGACTGTGCATGTCTGTTTCAGCCCTTTTTTTTTAACTTCACATTATACCACAATTTTTCATTCAAAATGTCTTCTACCACATCATTGTCAAGAGTTCCTTTACACTCCATTGTATGACCTTTATCATGATTTATTTATTCAATCTCATATTGTTGGAGATTTAGATTGTTTACAGTTTTTTTTTTCAATTATAAATATCACTGCTATGAGCATCCCCAAAGTTAGATTTTATATTCATCCTGAATTATGTCCTTTGCATAGAATTCTAATTATGGAAGCACATTTTGAAGAACAAATCTTTGAAGATTTTTAGTACATATTGCCAAGCTTCCCTCTGGAAAGTTTATACCAGGTTTTTTGGCTACTAATAGCTCAATCAGGAAAATAATAATAGCAGTAAATTGCAGCCACCATTTGCAGAAAGGTCAACTTCTTTTGACTTCACATACATTATCCCATTAAGTCTTCCAATAGTCCTAAAATTAAATGGAATTATCCCCATGTGATGGCTAATTTTATGTCAACTTGACTGGGCCACAGTGCCCCAACAGTTG